TTATTAAAAGTGCACCCAACTTTATTGAACAGATATACTGCATTTACTTTTGTAATGGTCTCTAAAGTATCAACAAAAAGTTCAGCAACAATAAATAGTTGTCAACTATTATTGGAAAGTAAAATTCATATGAAAATCAGAGGGCACAGAAAAGTAGTAATTTCCTTTAGTATGTGTATTGGGGTACTTCAAGAGGTCTTCTGGGCCAACACCCTGCTCAAGACAATATCATATCTATCTACACCATTTTAGGTAAATTGTCTAATCTTCTCTTTAAAAATCCCAAGGATGGGATTCCACAAACTCTTTAGGTAGCCTGTTTCTATGCTTAAAAATTTTCATGGTGAAAAAAATATTCTCAAATTCCCTTTGCTGCAATTTAAGACCATTGCTCCTTCTCCTGTGTCTTTTGATCACTGACAATAGTTTATCACCATCCTCTGTATAAACACCTGTCAGGTATTTCAAGACTGTTATCAAATCCCCCTTGATATTCTCTTCTCCAGAATAAATAATCCCAATTTTTCCAACCTTTCTTTGTAAGCCGTGTTTCTGAGGGCTTTAGTCATTTTTATTGCTCTCCTTTGGACTCTTTCCAGTTTGTCCACTTCTTCCTTGAAGTGTATGCCCCAAACTGGACCCACAACTCCAGGTGAAACAAAAGACTTGCTTGACTTGACTTATAAGTGATGCTCCTGTTAATTCAGCCAAGTACAATATTGCCTCCTCCCTCATCTCCCTGTGCCCCCCCCCCACAAGACTATACTGTTGACTCGTATTCATTTTATGCTTCAATTATAACCCCACAGGTCCTTTTCTGCAGCCTAGCCAGTCATTCTTCGTTACACTTTTTTTTGTATCTTAATTCTCTCCTCCAAAGTGCCTGCAACTCTACCAAATTGGAGTCATCTGAAAATTTTCTAACTGTACACTCTATCCCAACCTACAAATCATTAATCAAGATATGAAACAGTACTGGTTCCAGGAGACATACTCCTGAGAAACCCCTCTTGATACTTCCTCTCAACTAGACATTAAACCATTGATGATTACTTCTTAAGCATGAAACTCCAACTAGTTTTATGTATCCACCTTAAAGTAGTTTCAAGTGGATTGAAAACCCTTAACATACCATGAGAATGTCACGGGAGATGGTATAAAAAGACTTGCTAAAATCCAGGAATATCATATCTGCTGTTCTCCACCCACCCACAGAGCTAGGCACCTTATAGAAGGAAGTCAAGTTGATGAGGCATGACTTGTTTTTGATGAATCCATGCTGGTTGTTTCTGATCACCTTGTTATCCTCCAGGTGCTTAGAAATAGAAAATATTGAAAGTATTTTTGGATCACTCTTGAAGCTTTCTATATAATTCTATAAAGCAGAAAACTAAAACTCTATGGCCAGGTACAGATATTATAGTCTTACTGGTATAAATGATCAGAAACTGTCTATAAACATAACAGAACAGAAGTTTGATGCACAGAGACTGGTTTAAAAATGGTGGACCCCAACCTAAGAGCCCCACTTCTTTCCAGTAAAGGGCAAAAGTGTGTTCTGTTCACTACCAATCCAAACTACACCACTTACAGAAAGCTGCATAACTTAAATCGATTCCACCTCAGGCTTTTGGAATGTCTGTACCTAGTCTAAGTCTTTCTAGATGGGCTAAGCAAGTTTTGCGTTAATACTTGACACGATTTTAAAAATTAGTGGAGATCATTTTCCAAAATTTTGCAGGTCTCCAGTGTATGAAATGCATGTGCCTCCTGTTGGATGTTAGATACCTTTTACAATGAATGTGTTTTTAAATATCAGAACTTCAAGAAATTAGATCAGTGTCCAGAAAGTTTGTTTTTGGTGTTGCTAATATGCTAATATCAGTTTTGTGAAAGCTAAGAGCATCTTTCTAATACAATAAGCAACTCATAATTTAAGTGTGTTGCTTTCTAATTACTAGCATGTTTTCATTCTTTTTATGATTCTGCTCCTCTTACATGATACGTGTGTGTTTATATATGACAGTATAACAGAATTTATATATATATATATATATATATATAATGTAATATAAAATATATATCTATATATCTATAGATAGATAATATAGAAACGATCTGTATATGCTGTTATACTTTCACACACACAAACACTGGAGAAAGTTCTGTTGTACTAAAAAATACCAAGTCTAACAAATGGAGGTTAAAAAATGTAATTAGATACAATGAGAACATACACATGTAACATGTAAGAGAAGTAGAATCATAAAAAGAATGAAAATATGCTAATAATTAGAAAGGAATGCGACTTATATTTACACACACACACACACACACACGCTGTTCCTGACGGAACACTTATCTATATCTTCATTCTTGTCTCCCTTCACCATACCCTCTTTTTCATTGAGACTTGCTCATTTCTTTTTAATCATTTATATTTTCCTGAATTCGGGTTGTGTTACTTTGAAAATGTAAAAGAATTGTTGGAATATTCCCTACATTAGCACTTGCTCTTTCTTCTGAATTGATGCTTGTGGTTGATTTTTAAATTGGTTTTATATCATGTAATCCAACACTTATTGCCAAATCAGTAAAATCAGTCTTTATGCACAGAGAGTATATTTTTCAAACATTTGTTAATTACCTTATTTTCTCACATATCACGTGCCCCCAAACAAAATATGTACCTTGTTTTTGGAAGGCAAAATGTAGTGGGGGGGACAGTTTTCCAGAGTTATAGCTAACTGTGACTATATAGAGTAAATTCATTGTGCCAGAAGATGGTCTGGCTGAGATGGCAGGAACTTTCTGGTGTGGCAGGATAGCAAGAAGGCTAGGATCCAGATCCTTACAAGATTGTTAGTTCTAACAATAGTCCTCGCAAAATTGTTAATTCTTTCCTGCAAATAGTTCTTTATATAAGTTCCTGTAAAAATAGTCTTGTTTACATACCACAAGCTTCATCAAGAGTACTACAGACTCAGCCAACTCAGTGTCTCTTCAGCCAAAAACAATTGTGCAGTTGTGGGGCGGTTAATGTGGAACTCCACCCCTACTATGTGCAGCCCCAGGACGAAGGGACAGACTTCTCAGCAGCGATAAGTCAGTGTCTGCTTGCTCTGTTTCATAATACTACTGTTCCAGCAAAGAAAACTCAGCGTCCCCACTTAAGACATGCATCCCAATTTTGAAGGAAAATGTGAATGTGGTGTGTGTGATAAATATGGTACACTATAAACACCTTGTCATCAATTTTTACTGAGTTTTAAATCAGATGAGAAGTTTCATGTTTCTGACATTCTAAGTTTGCTGCAGAAGCAAATTCGTGTTTCATATAGATTAAAAAATTAGAGGAAATTAAGAGATTTTCCTTTGTGTGGGACTGAAAATTGACTTGCTACCTATAACAAAGGTCTTTTATGTACTTGTATACTTTTATAAAGTCTCTGTTTTCCTTTACTAACCTGCAAAGAATATTTTCCATTAAGTGTACTGTAATTTTTGCGTATCAACTTTATCCATTCTTGAGCAGGTTATAGCCATTGAACAGCTCAGTGTGATTTTTCTGCCTTGCATAAGAATCCTCATGAAAACTTCAGCAATTTGAAACCTCATTTGGTTCCCTTTAAATGAATAACAAAATATAACCGAAGCAGGATAGCTAAGGTTTTGAGAAAAGTTGTCACCTTTTCATTCTCTCATTAACCATAATATATTTTTCCCTATATGCTGTCAGACTCACAATTAACAACTCTGAAAAGATGATTTAAGTTGCTGTCATGAAGTATTTGTTTGCCTCTTCCTTTTCATAATTGTGTTCCCATTTTCCTATTTATTTCTGTGCTTGCAGAAATTTATTGTTCATGTTTGGCAGTATGCCAGTCTCATGATCCAAATTCTGCTCTGCTCTACCCACTCTGCAATTCCATGGACTCCTGTGGATATGAGTCAGCAAAATTGGGACCAAGATATGTAATGATAAAGCAGGACTAGACATTCATCCCAAATAAACATAAAATGAATTAGTTGTAATATATAGATCTGAAAATTATTGTACTGCATTCTCTAGAAGTTCACAGTTAGATACAGATTCTCCATTGGTAAAAAAATATAAGAAGAAAGCATCTTAGTAGGAAACTGCCAGTTGCTTTTGTCAATACTTCTTCCGCATTATTTGATGCTAGTGGATTTTGAATACATGTCATCTCCTCTCCTGCACATTAAAGCTTATCAAGGCTTGCTTCTGTTTAGCTGCCCTCCCGTCTCACCCTTTAGTGGCAACCTGTTTAATGCTCCAGGTTTTAACAAGCATTTGTTTGGGAACAGGAAGGAATTTTTCCCATTGGGCCAACTTGGAATGAGATTTGGTAGTATTTTTCACCTTTCTTAGCTTCAGCATAGCACAGTTGGATTAATAGCAATGAGATTTTGAAGATTTAATATTAGGAAGGTAAAAATTTTAGCTTGTTATAACTTGTGGCCAGTGTCCAATGTAAGTTAAGTTTAGGAGGGCCAGTGACCAGAAATGAATAAGATCCTGGATGGTACCAGTTTACTTTGTGTAGCTAGGAACAGGAAAACCTGATTTTTGAGGGGGCACTGAAGGCCCAGTACCCTTGCAGAGGTGGAATGATAGTTAGGGGGAATGTCAGTGAGGGTATCCCCTGAGTCACTGATATAGCCTGATGCAGTGTAAGGTTTCTAACATACATTTCATTAATTGATCTGGACCAACAGCATGAGTGGAACCAGTGTTCCATAACACTATGCTTGACCACACTTAGGTGATTTTTTTTTAAATTAAGAATGGTTCATTTTTACAGTAAGCAAGAGTTTGTGTTGACACAGAATTCCAGATCAGTAGACCGGGTTCATTTTTAAGGGCTATTAATAATATCTTCCTTCACCTTAAAACAGTGATCAATCTAATCTTTTTAAATAGTGTTGTCTGTACTGTAGTTCCAAATTAATTTAATTTTTCTTCTTGTCCATTCTAGGTACAAAGGTCCAGAAATAAGCAGTTACGCGAGTTGTTTCCAGATGGATTTAGTATTCATCATGCAGGGATGCTGCGGCAAGACAGAAGTTTGGTTGAGAACTTGTTTTCTAATGGACATATCAAGGTCCTAGTTTGCACGGCTACATTAGCGTGGGGAGTCAATCTTCCTGCTCATGCTGTTATTATTAAGGTAAGAGCTTATCTTACACTGCAAGTGGATACGTGTCTTAAAACAAACCTGTAAAAATGCATATAGAGCATGCTCTGTATTGTGGTTTGGAGGGAGGCGGGGGTCTGATTGACTTGAAATGTTGTTTGTGTCTCGTTAAACTGATTCTCTCCAGTGGAAATACAGTTTGTATAGTAAAGATTTAAATATATCATAGATTATAAAAGGATTAGTTAAAGTACACTTTTGAAATCATGCTATATTTGCCTAATTTCAGTATTCAGCTCATCAGGATTATGTTCATGTGTATTTATGTTAATTTTTATTAACTTTTCCTCAACTAGGGAACACAAATATATGCTGCAAAAAGAGGTTCCTTTGTTGACCTTGGAATTTTAGATGTCATGCAGATATTTGGTCGAGCCGGACGGCCTCAGTTTGACAAATTTGGAGAAGGCGTCATTATTACAACTCATGATAAACTCAGCCATTACCTGACTCTGCTTACTCAGCAGAACCCAATTGAAAGCCAGTTTCTTGAAAGCCTCGCAGACAACCTGAATGCAGAGGTAAAATTAAATTAATTTGTTTAAGAGAAATTACCATGTACAGGCTTAAAGTGACCAGTATTAATGAGGAAGAAGTGCAAACAATTATAACAAAATCCTATCCAATGCTTGGAGATTTTGGGGTGTATATTTTATTATTTAAGAGAAGTAAACAAGAAGCATATTGCACAAACTTTGTAAATGTAATCAAAAATACATATCCAAAAATGAAGGTTCAGAGTAGTAGGCATACACCTGAACTGTAGAAAAAATATATATTTTTATTCAGAAGTCTTATTTTTATTCAGAATCTGAATTTAACTGATATAAATTAATTGAATTAGCATTGGTCTGTATACTATTTATTAAGGGAAAGCATAAAAGTAAAAAGAAATATAACTGTATAAAACAAAAGGCAACACAGGATTTTACAAAAAAAAAAGAGCATTTGCCTGTGGTAGAAGTTATCCTTTATTTGTGATTATTTTAATTGGTTTAACTGGAATATGGGAATATGCATGTATCTGTTCTCTGACTTTTGATCTTGTTTTTATGATGATGATGGAAACATTTATTACAAATACTAAGCTCCCTAAGTTCATACTTCTCTACCTCTTGTGCATCCAAAAAACTTATAAAAGCTGGGAAAACGTGTTGTATACTTTGCATAGGAGCCATTCCTAGGTATATTCCTCAGGGTTGTCTGGGGAATAAGATAGTAAAGAGTTGTTGTAACCTTAATGCTAGGGACAGACATTACACTTAAATGGTTTAAGTGATCAGAAACTGGTTTAAACCTGTAACAGAACGATGTTCAGTGCACATAAACCAGTTTGACAGGGCTAAAACTGGTTTGCAATAAACCTGGTTGAATGTAGTATCAGACTTAACTGATTTGAACCAAATCGGTTTATGCATTGTCTGTCCAGACCCTTTCCTGGTTTACATTAAACCAGACTCCCCCAGCATCCCGGCATGCTCTCTGGGCTGGACTCTCTGCTCCACAGCAGAGCTGGCCCCTCCTCTCTGCTCCCTGGCTAGAGCTCTGGCAGAGACTGCAGGCAACTGCCTGGCTTCCCCACACTCCCCACACCACTCCTTGCTAAGCAGGGATCCCCCCTCCCCTCTACCTTACACAGACACCTCGCAACATTAGCTAGCATACCACATGCTGGCTATGGTCCATACTGTGGGAGACAGGTTTCTTCCTTGGAAACGCTGTTTAAGAAGAGCTTGAACTAATGGAGAGAGGATTTGTTTTCTGATGGGGTGATAAGCACTGAGTTAGGGGTGATAAACACTCTGTTATCAACAGGGATCCAGGTTTTCTGTTTCCCACAGAAACAGAGCAAACCATGGATTTTACCATTTACCAGAGGCAAAGGCAGATTTCTTATTTTACCAGAGAAACCCATGGATTTTGCAGTTTTTTCAATGAGCTCCCTGCAGGCTGGCAGAGTTCCAGCCTGCAGGGATTTGGAGGGAGTGGGAGGAAGGCTCCATGTGCATGCATATGACCCCAGGCAGCCTGAGAGCAGCTACAGCAGGTAAAGGGGGGTGGGGGGGAGAAGTGGATTGAGGCCCCTGTAGAGAGGGAAGGAATTAGCTGGGCAGGGCTGGGGCTGCTGCCCAGCCAGGCGGTGATTGGGGCCCAGGGCCAGAATCCCCTGCGTGGCTGCAGGGCCCCAGCGGGGAGCTTGTCCAGGGTAGGGTGAGAGGGATGGCTCCCCACTGCGGCGAGCACTCCCAGGAGGGCGGGGGGGACCCGTGCCCCCCCCCTCCGATCTGTATGCAGTATAGGTGCAGGCTGTGGGCTCAAGCTTCTGTCCTGCTTCCCTCCCCCAGGACCTCCACAACCCAGCAGGCATGACCAGGCAGAGAACAGCAGGGCCACACAGGGATCTCCTCAATTAGGGAAAACCAGGATCTAATTATCGATTGCCTGCTGGGCTGCTGAAGGGAAGGGGGGCTGCTCTAGTGCCCCCCAGCTTCTAGCCTGAGCCGCTGCAGGCATGTGCCTGCTTTCTGGATGTCTGTGCTGTTACAAACCAGTTTAGTCTAGCTAGGTTAGACTAACCTTCAAAGATTGAATCAATTAAGGTTCAGTATTTTTGAATGTCTGTCACTAGCCTAATAGTCTAGGAAATATGTGAAAGCAAAAGTTTTTGTTGTCATAACTTTTATTGGACTGACTCTATAGTTAGAAGAAATGTTAGACAAGCTTTCAGGCATGAAAAGAAGACCTGAAGAAGGGCACTCTGTACCCAAAAACTAGTGTAACATGCTTTCCAGCTATACAGTTGGTACAATAAAAGTAAACACAAAAGGAGCATTCCTTCTGGGGATTAAGAGGGAAGGGGAGTGGGGGTTGTCTTTGCCTTCTTCAGTATTGTTGAGATATATTATAGGCATTTGGAAAGGACTTGTGATTTTCTCCCTTCCTTCCTGTTTCTCAGTAATGGGGAAGAGCAAAGGAGATACAGCATTGGTATGAACTTGGTGAATCAGGTAGTACTGAGTGTGCACTGAGTTCCCTACCTCCACTGATCTGCAGTCGTAAAACTGACAATTTCCATTCTGTGCAACTCTCCCCTTCAATCTGCCTGTAGGAAAGAGAGAAGAGGGGATCTATGTATATCCCATCACTTTTTATCAAACCAGGACATTTGGCTCTCCAGGCTGGACTAAGTGAATCCAACAAGCACCTAAACTAAATTAAATCCTATCAGTTAGCTTTCTTGTCTTATATTAACTGAATAGTATTTGAAACTAAACATTTCTGCCTAATAAATGTCTGAAAAACAAGTATTTTAGCTAAGTTTTTTTTTTATATCTATTTCAACCATGAATCTTAATGATTATATAGGTTACCCACAGCCGTTTCTGGGGAACACATTATTAATATTAAAATAAATATAAATTATATATGATTATGAGAGGTTGAAGTGATAACTTGAAGATGTTATTGGCAAAGCCTATTTTGTATATGCTTAATATCTTCTGATTTCTAAAAATATGTTGCATTTCCTCTTAAATATTATGTCTTCCTAGAAATTAAGAGTAAACTTAAGTACATTACAAAAGCAGAGTCACTGAACTTTTTTCTTATGAATGACTTGAGAGAAGGAGTAGACCAGTTTCAAAGAAATGTTTTCAGCTGCATTGGGGCATTATGCTGTTATAGTAAGGCTGTTTAGAAATATGTCACAAATTCCTGCCAAACCTACAGTAAGTTTTACTGGCTAATGCTACTAGCTGTTGTGATTTTTAAAGAAGCAGATATTTATGTTGCCCCTTTTCTGGTACAGGTAGTAGGAGAAGTGAGGAAGAATCTAGAAAATTGTAAATTGTACCTGCATATTCAAAACTGAATGAGAGAGATCATTAATTGATATATGATATAGCTTTGGTATAAATCTGAGAATGGTAGATAATGAAAGACTCTTTTGAGGAACTCTGATAAGGATAAGTAACAACATTAAGGAAGTTTTTTACTTATTTTTAGAGTTAATATGTTTAGGAGATACAATGGTTTTATTATAAGACGTTATAATAAAGTTACCATAATGTCTTGTGGATTGCTGAATAGCATTTGTGAATCATGAAGGTCTTTTGGCTAAGGTCAAGTTTTCCTATTAAATCAAATTGCAATTAAACTGTTTTTCTTTTCAGTAATAAGTAGATCCTATCCAACTGAGCTTTAAAAATCTTAAATATATTAAAGCAATTGGGACTTCTGCCTATACAGACTCCATACACACACATTATATATTTATATATGAAAATTTGCATATTACAGCTGTAGATGGTGATAAATCAAAAAAAATTTGAAATACATGTGACCACTTGCAATTCAGACATGAATAACAAAAGTAAATCTGAGGCCCTCTCTATACATTACCTTTATGCTGTGATTAACCCACTATAAGGCTTCATAAAATGGGAAATGAACCATAAAAATCTTGCACCTATGGTGTAGAAAATTTTATGGTTCATTTGTAGGGTGCCTTAAATTTAACATGTCAGCTGATTGTCAGTCCTGAGGCCCAACCACACTGAAGTCTGGAAGGGCCCCATGACCAAAAATCAGCTGATCATTTGCCTTGGTCAGAGCCAGGGAGCAGAAGGTGAACCAAAGGGCTTCTCCCACTGGGGACTTTAAACCCCAGGTCAGGCATCTCTGGCTAAGACTGCCCAGCACAGGGAATGACAGACAGCCCAGCCAGAGCTGCCTAGCACAGGATTTAAAGTCCCCAGTAGGAAGAAGGTGAAGGTTCCCCTGCCCTGGGATCTTCTGGTCCCCTGTGCTGGGCAGCCCAACCAGAGCTGCCCGGCATTGGATTTTGACAACCTGATTGTTGATAGGACCATCCAGTACTGGGCCCAACAATCAACTGATTGCTAGCCCCAGTACCCAGAAAGCCCTGTGTCTGAAACAGAACCCCAGATCAATTGATTGTCAGCGCCATGTGCAGGTACCCGGGTTTCAGTTTGCCAGTGTACTAGGTCTGGCTCCCTCTGAACTGTCAAGAAGTAATGGTGCTGTTGGGATCTGATCCCAGATCCCAAAATCATGCCTTCTCCATGCAAATTTTCTGCCTTCACACCATTGAATGAATGCTTGGCTTGCTGATCCATCATTCTGGTTCCAAATCCATAATATGTACAAGAGCACCATGCCACTTCCCTTGCAAAATAGAATGAAGATCAAATATCTAGAAATCCTTGTACATTCAAATAATTGAATACTTTATATCAAACAAAGGGAAACGGATAAACCAGAAAAACAAAAATGTTGGGTGTTTCCTGGGAGTAGTTTAAACAGTAAATGTTGCAAAACAATTTCTGTTATAATGCTACTTTTACATTTAGGCAGGCAAGGTTCTTTGAGTAGATGTGATATCGTTTATTAGACCAAATGAGTATTTGGAAGGAAGTTTTAGCAAGGTTTTTTAACCCAAAAAAGCTGATTAAGAACTTTTTTCCAACTACTCAGTTGGTCTAATAAAAGTTATCACATC